CTTAGAAAAAGACCGAAATGTTTTCATCACGGGTTTTAGTCCATCACATATCTCTCTTCAGTGACAGCGGCAACAACATTGCGAACAGAATAAAAATAATAACAGGAAACAACAACAACTAACAGCAATAATTACTAAAACGAGAACTTTAACAAAACATCATTACCGTAAGCACCATCACAGGTGACCACAACTGCGGCAAAAAAAAAAAAAAAAAAAAAAAAAAAAAAAAAAAAAAAAAATAGCGGTCCTCATAATACTCTCGGGCCCTTGATAGAAGAAGCGAAAGGAAGTGACTACTGGTACGGCAGAAAAGCCCTCGATGAGTATCCTGCGCATGCGTGGTGAAACAAACAAGATGGCGGCGTCTCGACACGTGAAGATGCTACTACTAGGTTAGGTTAGATTAGATTAGGTCAGCTTCTTACTTATTACCCGGAAATGTCATGTACATGCGCGTACGTATATGTGTGCTGTACGTACGCGAGGAATCGAACATGGCTGCCGTACGTGTAACCTTGGCCTAATACAAAATATTCACACTTCCAAGAACTACAAATTTCTCATACGGCATCCCAGTGTAGCGTTTGCATTTAAGAGCCATTTTTGAAACCATTTTGGTATTTTTATTTTCTATTTTGTTTGCTGTGAAGGGCAGAGGAAGCTAAGGATGATTAGGAGAAAGGAGAGGGTTAAAAAAGGTCGAAATTTCAGAATAAAAGATCGAGAGGAATGAGAAACGGAAGAGATGGGTGCACGAAGAGGAATAATGATGGTAATAATAATGATAAGAGTAATGATAATAGCAATGATAATGATAATAATGATAATGATAATAAACAACAACAATAATGATAACAATGATCATAGTAATGATAAGTAACTCTTAATGATAATGATGCTTATGATATCAATGATAATGATAATGATAATTATGAATATGATAAAATAATAACAGCGACAGTAATGATAACAATGATAATAATAACAGTAATAGTAATAAGGTAACAATCATGATCTTGATAATGATAGCAATAATGGTAATTACGATAATGATGCTGATAATGAAAAAGTGATATCAATGATAATAAAAATAGTAATAGTAGTACTGCGGATGTAAATGGTAAGAACTGCAATAATGACAATAACACATATCAACAACAACAATAATAATGACAATAATAACAAGGTGATAATATTAACAACAATGATAAACACAACAATGATAACAGTAATGTTAACAAAAATAACGATAACAACGATCATATTCATACTAATGATAACAATAACGATATCAATCATAATAGTAATAATCATAGAAATGATAGTACCAATGATAATAATGATAAAAATAGTAATAATAGCATTTATAATAATGTTAATAACAATAGAAATAACAAGCAATAACATTTAATTTTAAAAAATCCTGGATCCCCATCATGATCCAGACCTCCACCAACATTTAATTAATGAGTTATCCAGCTAACAAACGAACAAATAATTATCTAAATTCAGTGGCTAAGTTAAGGTAAGACGAACTTATGATAAAAATTACATTGAAATCTCTTCATAACTTTTTAAGTAACAAATTAACCAACGCTACCAAGACATGACCTCCTTGCCATAAGTAATGATAACTATAGGACTGATAATGATAAAAATCATGATAATAATAATAATAATAATAATAATAATAATAAGGATAAAGATAATAATAATGATAATAAGGATAAAGATAATAATAATGATAATAAGGATAAATATAATAATAATGATTACAATGATGATAATAATAAGGATAAAGATAATAATGATGATAACAATAATTATGATAATAATAACAATAATTACGAATATAATAAAGATAATAATAATGGTAATAACAATGATAAAGAAAAAATGTGAAATCACTGTTTATAATGATAAAAATAATGATAATAGGAGAAAGAAGAAAATCTATCTATCCATCGATCTATCTATACATGCATACACACATACACACACACACTCACCCACACACCACACACACACACACATATATATATATATATATATATATATATATATATATATATATATATATATATATATTCTAAAAACACGAACAAGCAAAGAGAGACTCGGTTGTCACTTCGATACGTGCGTTCGTGTCTGAATGAATTCCAAGGTGAAGTTGATAACAGATTGGTGTGATGGCTCATTGTGTCAGAAGAATTTGGAGCGGAAGTTCAGACAAGCTTATTGTTTTTGGTTGGATTGTTGACTTATTGAGGCGTTGTTGCGTTTAATTATTTTTTTTTTTCTTTTGCTGCGATTATCCCTTCTCTCTCTGTCTCTCTCTCTTTCTTTCTTTCTCCCCCCCCCCCCCATCTCTCTCTCTCTTACTCTTTCTCCACGCAAATACAATACTGTTCCCTAAGCATTTGTCCGTTCCACCCTTTCCCATCAGCTGTTTCATGGTATTGCGTCATCGATATCCCCCGGGCAGTCGGACACGAACGCTATCAGTTATTCTCCATTCACCGCAGCGATGACGTAACATGACGTAACATCGTGTGACGTTTGTGACGTGCAAGATTCTTTTTTTGGCGGTGGGGAATGTGGAGAGGGAGAGGGGGAGGGGAGATAGCGTGAGCGTGTTTAATTCCATGTGCATTTACGTGTGTGTGTGTGCGTGCGTGCGTGCGTTAGGCGCAAGCGAGACCGGCCAGGCGACGGAGCTCTTCCCCGGGGCCGCACGACTCAGTATCCTTGGCTTGCAGAAGCAGCGCTGATGCTATGCATTTTAGCATTCATGGCAGGACCGGAACTAAACGCGGTGCACGAAAGAAATTTCAATAAGATGGAATCTGATTCATTTAATCTTTTGTTTTTATACACACAAGCACACACATATGTGTATATAGACATGAATGAATGTATATATATATATTATATATATTATATATATATATATTATATATATATATATATATATATATATATATATATATATATATATATATATATATTATATATATATATACATTATATATATATATATATATTATATATATATATATATATATATATATATATATATATATATATAATATAATTATATATATATATATATATATATATATATATATATGTATATATATATATATATATTATATATATATATATATATATATATATATATATACATATATACATATATATATATATATATATATATATATATATATATATAGATATATATATATACTATATATAATATATATATATATATATATATATATATATATATATATATATAGATGGATAGATAGATAGATAGATAAGATAGATAGATAGATAGATAGATAGATAGATAGATAGATAGATAGATAGATATATATAGATAGATATATATATATATATTATATATATATATATATATATATATATATACATACACATGTATGTATATATATGTATATCGTCTGTGTGGAAGGGTCCAATGACAATTTCCGCGCAAACTAAATCATTTCTATGGAAAGGATCTCTGCTGCACGGAAAGTTAAGGAGCAGTACCTATTGGTGATGGTGGTTCCTGGCAACGCTGTAACGTCATGCGTCTTTTACCACTTTTTTTATTTTAAAGATTCTCTTTTGCTCTTTGGCTTATAACCTAGGATGGCCAGGAGGACCACAATGGATGCTGTGGCAGAGGTTGCCTCGTGCGTCACTTCAGGGATGTAGCCTCACAGACGGAGCGGGCGCAGGGGCGCGCCTTGGCGAGGACGACTTACCCGGGCCAGGGTGGAGCGTAGTAGGCCTATGTTGATCTTTCCACGGCCCCTGAGCATCATCGGAAGGCAGGTGAAGGCAATCCTGTGATAACTGCTCGAGAAATCATACCCACAAGTTCATAGAATTTTTATCGGGTTGGTATCTCTGCGCTGCTTACAGGAATGTCTCACTGGCGATCTGAATTTCCTAGTTTTCGGACGGAAGAAACCACTGTTTAGTTTTGTTCTGAAAAAGAAGCGCATTTCCTTTGTCATGAAGTATTAAGAGAGGGACCTTGACATCTCGCAAGGTGTGCTTTGGCCGGATGAAGCAACGATTGCCGTGACTGGCAGCAGGGGAAGGGGGGTCTACCGGCCCCCGCTCGGATGCCCACCTCCCGGATTAGACTGAAAAGACGGTAAAACACTCTGCTTCCCTCATGGTGAGGGGCTGCTTCACTTATTATGGTGTTGGCGGTCTTGCATCTGAGCCTGCCGAGGAGAAGATGAACCAAAGTAGTAACTTATGCAGGATGGGCTTCTTGCCATATGGCAAAGTCACTGTAACCGTGGCTTCGTGATTATGAAGCAAAGTAATTCAAGGATCGGCCAGACAGCAGTCCAGACCTAAATCGCATAGATAACTTATGGCCGATCATCAGGCGGCGTCTGCGTGGCACCGACACGCCATCGCTCCCGGAGCAGGGAACTGCCTCCCGGAGGCTGGGTCACTTGAACCCGGGAACTCTGCGCGCTGTGGCGGATGCTGTCCCTGGGAGGCTGGCGGGATGGCCGACGCGCAAGGGCAATGCCACGCAGGAGGAAAGCTTTATTTCTTCTAGTAATAAGCAAGTAGATAAACGATATATATATTTTTTTTTCACCTCGCGACTTGCATTTACTTGTGTTTACACACACACACACACACACACACACACACACACACACACACACACACACACACACACACACACATATATATATATATATATATATATATATATATATATATATATATATATATATATATTATATATGCATATATATATATATGCATATATATTTGTTATATATTTTTTTTTTATTCTGGGAAATTCTGCTTGTGTGTGGGGGTGTGTTCGGATGTGCCTATTTGGTGCTTAGACTAATTGATACATATAAATATATCTATAGCGCGTGTGTGTGTGTGCGTGTGTGTGTATGTAAACATGTTCTTGATTAGGTGACATATATTGACTGAACCGCTTACGCAATCGGCAATCCCGATAAACAAAACCACAACTTTATGATGAAACGGAGCGCATTCCGATCCGATGAAAGCCTTCCACCGTTAGTAGGGCTTTAAGGACTGAGTTCGAAGGACAACATTTTATTACTCTGAGTAAGACTGTGGGGTTTTAAGTGTAGTTTACAGAGGTTTAGCCATACGAATAGAAAAAAACAAAGTAATATATGAATAAATCTTTGACAAAGTATTGTATATTCATAATGTAAAAAAATAACACGAAAGTTGTGGCTGAAGTCATAATTTTAACCATTATTTATGAAATATAAGTGTTCGCAATATTTTCACTAACTTATGAAAAGTAACTTTTCCTTGTGGTGAATAGAAAATTGTGAAGTGAGACCTGAATGTGTAGAAAAATACAATATCTTGCAATGCAGTGTGACATTCTTATATTCAAAACGTGAGTATACCAAATTGCCTTCTCATAGTTACCAGTAAAAGGACAGCTTCTTGCTCTCTCTGTCTCCTCCTAATTGATAACTATTTTTCTATTTGCCGGTTTCCATTTCCAGTCTTTATGCCTTTAACTCTTGCCGTTGTACCATTTTTCTTTCGGTCTCCCCTCCCTACTCTCTCTCTCTCTATCTATCTATCCATCTACCTACCTATCTATCAATCTCTATCTCTCTTTCTCTCTCTTTCTATCTATCTGTCCATTTATCTATCAATCTCTCTCTCTCTCTCTCTCTCTCTCTCTCTCTCTCTCTCTCTCTCTCTCTCTCTCTCTCTCTCTCTCTCTCTTCTCTCTCTCTCTCTCTCTCTCTCTCCTCCTCTCTCTCTCTCTCTCTCTCTCTCTCTCTCTCTCTCTCTCTCTCTCTCTCTCTCTCTCTCTCTCTCTCTCTCTCTCTCTCCCTCTCTCCCCTCCCCCCTCAAGCCAAGCCTTTTCCCACAGGTAAATCAAAAGCTTAACTCTTAATCTTAAACTCGCGAAGAAAACAAAAGATTATTTTACTCTATAAAAGTTATTAGGATAATTCAAGAGGACATGTCAGAAAAATGTAGATAATGTTAATGCATAAAGATTTGTGTTTATCATATCATCCGCCAAAGTCGGTATGTGTACGGGAGTATACGTATTTGTGTATTTTAAACGTATGTGCGTTTGCCACTGTATATTTGCGTACATATGAGTATATATCTATGTTGCGAGTAGATACATATACATAAACATACCTATATATATATATATATATATATATATATATATATATATATATATATATATATATATATATATATATATATATAATATATGTGTTGTGTTGTGTGTGTGTGTGTGTGTGTATATACATATGTGTATGTGTGTGTGTGAAATGAAGGACCTTTTCCTTTGTCCTTTATTCTGGTTCCGCTTCAGATATAATAAATTTCTTCGAGATCAAGATTATCTCTGACGTCTTAGATGATGAAGAAAGGATGGTTAGTGACAGTAGTTCTTTATATGTGGCTGTGACATGTTTTTTTCTCTCTCTTTACACTCAAACCTCTATCGCTCTTCCTTCTCTCTCTTCTCTCTCTCTCTCTCTCTCTCTCTCTCTCCTCTCTCTCTCTCTCTCTCTCTCTCTCTCTCTCTCTCTCTCTCTCTCTCTCTCTCTCTCACCCTTTCACCCCTCCCCTTCTCTCTTCTCTCTCTCTCTTACCCTCTCACCCCCTCCCCCTCCTCTCTCCCCTTCCACCCCCTCTCCCTCCTTCCCTCCCTTCCTCCCTCCCTCTAATTCTCTGAACTTGACGAAACGAATCATTGGGCAATACGAGTTGTTTCACGAGAGCGAGGTTATCTGTTGCTTAGGGATTCGGCACCGGCGCGTTTCCGATAAGATAGCGCTGCGTTCGGGGCCGTAAGTAAGCTCTGGTCGGGAGTTTCACCGTTCAAGTTCTCCCGTTTTTTTCGTTTCTTCTTGTCTTCTGGCTATTTTCTTATTTTTTTCATTCGTCAAGGTCTCTCGTTTTTCTTCGTTTTCTCCTTTGTCTTCTGGCTATTTTCTGTTTTCATCCGTCAAGTTCTCTCGTTTTTTCTTCGCTTTCTTCTTTGTCTTCTGGCTATTTTCTTCTTTTTTTCATCCGTCAAGTTCTCCCGTTTTTCTTTGTTTTCTTCTTGTCTTCTGGCTATTGTCTTTATTTCATCAAGTGAATTCCTTATTGTTTAACGTTTTCTTGTTCTTTCCTTCCCCCTTTTTCCTAATTATCATATCATTAACATCGACATGAACGGCTTCCCTTTCCCGGATGCTTCGGTTGCTCTGATGTTTGATCCTACGGTTAATATGCTCTTTGTTTGGCTGATATATTCACGAAAGTATGTCATGCTACGTACGAAGTGTGGTGATAATGATGAGAAAGTCACTGGAATAGAGGGAGTGAGAGAGAGAAAGAGAGAAGGAATGAGGGGGAGGAAAGAGAGAGAGGAGGAGAGAGAGGGAGGGAGGGAGAGAGAGAGAGACAGAGAGACCGACAGCCAGAGAGAATCCAAAGCAAAATAAAATGCGGACCCAAGTAAAACCTCCGCGCCATGCATTCCCGAGGCGACACCGAGACACAGACGGCCAGGAATCCCCCAAAACGCGCGGTTGGCAGAAACGGAACAGAAACAAGTGCGCATCAGAAGGCCTTGCGCACCACCGCCAATTAACCATTACGAACAAAAGCCTATCGTCGCCTCTCCCTCTCTTCCTGTGTTCCTCCTCCCTGTCTCCTCTTCTTTCTTTCCTTCTCCTCTACATCTTATCTGTGTCCTGGTCCACATCCTTTTCCTTCTCTGCCTTTGTATCATTTTTTCTTATCTTCTCTCTAGTTGCATCTTTCCATGCTCTTCTCTTCCTGTCTGTTTGTTTTCTTATTTTGTTAATTTTCTCATCTAAAACACGCACACACACACACACACACACCCGTCCTGCAACACATTCCCCATTGCATTGTCCTGTCGAATGTTGCAATGGCTCCTGTTCTTCGTTTTCATCATCTGTGGTAGAATTCCTCTCTTTCTCATTTGCCTCGTTTCCACTGTTTGCGCTGTCTCTCGCTCAGACGTCTGTTCAGCAGTAACTCGATGTGACTGCGAGGTGGAGTCTTGTGGAAGGCGCTTTGTCTCTCTCCTCTCCGTGCTCCCTCCTTCCTCCCATCTCTCTCTCTCCTCTCTCTCTCTCTCTCTCTCTCTCTCTCTCTCTCTCTCTCTCTCTCTCTCTCTCTCTCTCTCTCTCTCTCTCTCTCTCTCTCTCTCTCTCTCCTCTCTCTCTCTCTCTCTCTGTCTGTCTGTCTGTCTGTTCCTCTGTCTCTCTCTTTCTCTCTCTCTGTCTGTCTGTCTGTTTGTCTGCCCCCCCCCCCCTCTCTCTCTCTCTCTCTCTGTTTGTCCATCTATCTATCTGTCTATGTAATTATTTATCTATATATTTAAAGATATATATCTTTAGATTTGTGTCTTTGCCTCTATATTGCGGAGAACGATCCATCAACCTCTCTTTCTCTCCCTTTTCCCCTACCTCTCACCAACTTCCTATGTCTTCAGTTCTGGGGCTGTCACATCTTCGATCTTCCATTCATGGGCTGCGTTTAAGACCTAGGCTGCGTAATGCACTCTATTTCACCTGCCGTTTCCCGCCCGGTCTTGCATCAGATTCTTGCTTTGCTTGACCCCGACGTCTTGACCTTCGCTCCGCCCCCAGTCCAGGTGAGCTGGGTCGTGGCGTTCGCGGGACCTTGTGCCGAGAAAGCACCAAACCAGACCTCGAGCTTCACTGTCGCTTACACATCATTTATTGCGCATTTAGCTGAATGGTCGTAGTTTTGATATCAAGCAAAGTATTTCATTTTTATTATGACGAGAAATCTCTGTGTGTGCATGCGCTTGCGTGTGTGTGTATGTGTTTGTGTCTGCGTGTATACGACGTAATACACCAACAGATATAGGGTAATAAATCTAGATACATAGAGTAACTGGATTATACGATTTTTTTTTTTACGGAAAATAACCAACAATAATTGTTTTTTCCTTTTTTTCCAGGAACAAAACATCGTTACTACTACCAGACAGGATTCCCAGGAAAAACAGAAGACTTCAGCAGTTGCTCTTTGTTTACCCTACGATGTCTTCCGTTTTGCACGGCTCCCGAGAGCTCAGACGATAGCGAATACAGCAAAATAGTAAATGGTAAATGTAAGGATACGAAAGAAAGAGAGAGATAAAAAGAGACTGACTGTGGTTCCATCCAGCGTCATCCTCATGAAATCGGAACTGTGATTTACTGTGATATTGTTGCTGTTCGGCCAGTGTATTTTCTTGGCTATGAATCGCCCTTAGAACCTCCTGTGTTCTAGGGCGAAGGCGCCGTAAAGTCTGCGGCAAATGTGATTAATGTTCACCCAAGTCGATTCTGTGATAGTTTTCTGTGTGTAAAATAGCTTTTGTTGAAGTCTGTAACCTAGATTTAGTATAGTGAAGGAAGATATAGCTTCCAACGTGATACGAAGAATTCAATGTTTCGCAGTGGAGAACGATAACAAAAGCGTCTACAGTTTAGTAAAAAGAGGAAAATTGTTTATCAAAACGTATAAATCTGCATCCAGTCCAGTTGAGAAAAAGAACTGCTCCTAGCACTTGGTGTGATAATTATGCCTTCCTTGTAAAACCAGTTTCTAAAGCCTTACATAACACGCAAATAAAAGAAGAGGATTGGAGTCCAACCGCAATCGTCTCGGAAACAGCCTTCCAGATCTTGAACCACAAGGAAACAAAGGAAGTCTAGTCTGCGCAACTGCGAAGATTCAGATTAAGTGCCTTACACCCACGCCTCTCCCGCCCGCCATTCTCCAAAGAAGAAGAAAAGCAAGAAACTCAAAAAAGACGAATCGTGTTAAACAGAGACGAGAGAAGGTTCCCGTCCACCTATTCCTTTCTTCGTTCGTCAACTCTTCTTGATTCGGCAAGATGATGAGCTTCAAGCAGTGGCTGGCGTTGCTGGGCATCTACACCATCTACATGCTCATCGGCGCCGCCGTCTTCATCAGCCTCGAGAAGGACAATGAGCTGGCGGGCCGCGAGGAGCTGCGCGACCTCAAGGGGCGCGTCATAGGTCAGTGCGGGGTCTTTGCATCTGTTTCTTTGATTTATACATTATTCTGGTTTCTGCTGTGTCGATGAACGTATTTCTGTTGAATAGTTATTTTCATTATTGGCTTTTTCATGTATTGCATTAATTTATTTGGTTCATTTATTGCATAATTCTTATAAACCTTTCTATTTGCCTCTCCTTCTATAACCCTCTATTATTCATGTGTTTCTTATTTTTACTAATTCCCAAATATTCGTACGTTTCTTCACCACCCTGCCTCCATCCAGAGTTCAGTCAACTATCCTATTCACCAATTGCAGGACAAGTGTTCTTTAAAGGAAAAAAAAAAATCGTCTTTAGAAAAATCACA